CAACGACGTACTCCTTCCTTCTATATATACCTACGTACCCCCAAACGATTAGATACGGAGCCAAAACCCTAATTCCACCGCCGTAACTTTCTGTAGTCATGAGATCCCATCTTGGGGCCTGTTTCGGAGCTTCGCCGGAGGGGGCATCGATCACGGAGGGCTTCTACATCATCACCATAGCACCTTCGATGAAGTGTGAGTAGTTCACCTCAGACCTACGGGTCCATAGTTATTAGCTAGATGGCTTCTTCTCTCTTTTTGGATCTCAATACAATGTTCTCCTCCTCTCTTGTGGAGATCTATTCGATGTAATCTTCTTTTTGCGGTGTGTTTGTTGAGACCAATGAATTGTGGGTTTATGGTCAAGTCTAACTATGAATAATATTTGAATCTTCTCTGAAGTCTTTTATGTATGATTGGTTATCTTTGCAAGTCTCTTTGAATTATCAGTTTGGTTTGGCCTACTAGATTGATCTTTCTTGCAATGGGAGAAGTGCTTAGCTTTGGGTTCAATCTTGCTGTGTCCTTTCCCAGTGACAGTAGGGGCAGCAAGGCACGTATTGTATTGTTGTCATCGAGGATAATAAGATGGGGTTTTCATCATATTGCATGAGTTTATCCCTCTACATCATGTCATCTTGCTTAAGGCATTACTCTGTTTTCATTAACTTAATACTCTAGATGCATGCTGGATAGCGGTCGATGAGTGGAGTAATAGTAGTAGATGCAGGCAGGAGTCGGTCTACTTGTCTCGGACGTGATGCCTATATACATGATCATACCTAGATATTCTTATAAGTATGCTCAATTCTGTCAATTGCTCAACAGTAATTCGTTCACCCACCGTAGAATACTTATGCTCTTGAGAGAAGCCACTAGTGAAACCTATGGCCCCCGGGTCTATCTTCATCATATTAATCTTCCAATACTTAGCTATTTCCCTTGCTTTTTTACTTTGCTTTTATTTTACTTTGCATCTTTATCATAAAAATACCAAAAAATATTATCTTATCATATCTATCAGATCTCACTCTCGTAAGTGGCAGTATAGGGATTGACAACCCCTTACCGCGTTGGTTGCGAGGATTTATTTGTTTTATGCAGGTACGAGGGACTCACGCGTAGCCTCCTACTCGATTGATATCTTGGTTCTCAAAAACTGAGGGAAATACTTACACTACTTTGCTGCATCATCCCTTCCTCTTCGGGGGAAAACCAACGCAGTGCTCAGGAGGTAGCAATCTACGCCGGCCATCACCGCCCTGTCCCCGAGTTCAGCGCACCCCTCCGTCGATTGAGCAACAGGCTGTCGCTGCATCGTCCGTCGGGCCGCAGCGCCGCCGCCCAATGGTTCTCCACGTGGCTGCACCGATCCGCGCCGCCGCTGCGTCGCCCCATCGGGCCGTAGTGCCGCGGCACGTGATCTCCGCCGCCGCCCTGAGGCCATTCCCATGGTTGCACTACCTCGCACGCTGCCGCTGTGTCGCCCCTTCGGGCCGTATTGCCGCGGCCCGTGGTCAACCGCCGCACCGAGGCCGTCCACTCTAGGCCGTCCCCGAGGCTGCACCGACCCTCGTGCTGCCGCTGCGTCGCCCTGTCGGGCCGTAGCGAGCGTGGCACACGGTCCCTGCAACCGCCCTGAGGTCTTCCCCGCTGCCGTCCTGACCCGTGCACCGCCGTTGTGTCGCCCCTTTGGGCCGTAGAGTCACGGCACACGGTCCACTCCGCCGTCCTCGCGCGTCGACTTCTATATGGTATGCATCGCGCCGCCTTCCTAGACACGAGAACACCACCGTCCGCGCTGGTCTTTGTCGCGCTGTCAGGTTCATTATAGCCTACTTCGAGCACCGCCGCTGCGCTCCTTCTCTAGCCGCCGCCGCCTCCTTAGGTCGCCGTCGCCGCTACTCTTCTTCTGCAGCTCCACGGCGACTACCTCGACACCGGTGACCCCCGACTCGACACCGATCACGGCGTTCTTCGCACGGCTACCTCGACTATGGCTACACCACCCATGCTCTCGGCTACATCGACAAACGGCACAAAGGGCTACCGCCTTGCTTGAGCAACCTCGTCGGTTTCCACTTCAGCCAAGACTCCGCGATGCATCGACCGTTACGACTGTAGGAGGGATGTCCGTCGGCTTCCCTTCGGATGCTTCTCCAGTCTCGCAGTCTGCGTCGCTATCATTGTGACTGCGGGGGATGTTGAGTATTATGTTTAGTTAGGAAATACGAGATAGACTAGGATATGTTCCGGCTTGTCTTGTACTTCAAGTTAGTCATTGTACTCCTATATATATGCTCACGAGGCTCAAGCAATACATCAACTATTCCACCAATCCTCTCTCCCTTCTAACACACACCAGCACATGACAACTGAATCTTGCCGTGGACTATCTTCTTCAGAGTTACGAAAAATTTAGGTCCCCCGTCAAGTGACACCTGCGTCGAAGAAATTGAGTGTTCTCATATATTAGACCAATTTTCGACCGACAAGACTTGAGCAAGTGAAGAGAGGCAGGGTTAGTACTCCCTCCATTCCAAAATATAATGCGCCCGCGCTTTCCGAGGTTGAACTTTGACCATAAATTTAACAAACGAGACCGACTGCGGCGGGAGAAAAAATTACATAATTAAAACCTTCTTTCGAATACGAATTCACTGATATAACTTTTGCCCCCACCGCAACCGGTCTTGATAGTTAAACTTACGGTCAAAGTTGAAGCACGTGAATAGAGGAAGCACTGCATTATGGAATGGAGGGAGTTCTTACAACGGTCAAGTCTTCAGCCTCTATTCTCGACCCAGAGGTGACAACTTGGTCCAAGCTCCAGTGTGAACACCTCAGATAGCCAGTCATGTTGCCACCAATCAACTAAATCTGGTTAAGAAACAAACAAGAAAGCTTGACAATGTAAGTAGCATAATTACATAAGAGGAAAAACCATAAACCAGACCGATCGACATGAAAGTTATTGTCAACCACGTTCTCAAAGATCCAACCACTACACTAACCCTCATTCCTGCAGATTTAAAGCAACACTAATAGAACGAATTCACCCGAAATCCAATTTGGCTCCCAGGTGCACGTGCTCCTGCATGTAAATTTTTTTTTTGAAATGCCAGAAAAATCCCAACAGAAACTCTATGTGTTCATAGTCACATTCAAATGCTGCCTAGAATTTTTTAGGGAAAAAGGTTAAACATTTTGGCATGTGGGAAAAATAATAATAATTGAACACCAGATGTCACCCCGAATTTATTATTTTCATAGATGAAATGCGGCTGCTCCAATTCGCATGAAAATTGTCAAGGATGCTTGCGGCACTAACATGAACATCCACAAAAATATCAGAATTTTTTAAAACATTTACAATTTTTCTTGATTACTGTTTACGTGGGAGCAAATGCTCCTGAGAGCTAAAACACCTCTCCCCCCGAATTCACCGCATAAATTAGCAATATTACCATATTTGTTTATGTTTTTCACTACATCCATTAGCAACATTATGATATCTGTGTCACTGAATACGCATGTGGTAATCTTCAATACTACTCCCTCCGTTCCAAATTACTTCTCGTGGTTTTCGGAGGGAGTAGTACTGAAAAATAGAGAAAAGTACTAGTAGTACTGAAGAAGCGCAACGTTTGTTCACTGATAAACAGCAAAGAAAGCTTCGGTAAGTAGGATAAGAGAAAAACTATAAACCATATGTAGGGTGGATCGACGTGTCGATGTACGGGTCGTGTACTTTGACGTTGTATCATCTTCTATTCATTTTCTATCAGAAAATGAATCTGCTTCTTACATAAAATCAAACATGCATGATGAGACAAATATCTGGTTCATAAGTGTAATTAGATTTTTTTACTCTTGTTTTCACCACATGTTTAACCTGGTGATGTGTTTGTGATGTGCATGCTTCCACTATCACAAAGTTTCTTTGTAGCTCAGGCTACATGGAACCTCTTATCCTCAACCCTCCAGCCTTGCTTTGAGATCCGTACTCTCCAACTAACTAACAACAAGAAGATTTCTCTTTTTTGTTTCTTGAAAATGAAACAACATATAAACTTCAAACTTTGCAGACCGAACAAACATTAGAACATCAATGTGTGAAAAAACTTTCAGATTTTTTGGTCTGATATAAATATACAAAATGAGATTTTCTTTGAATAAAAATATTATTTCAAGTATTTAAAATGCATGAAAAAATCTGAAAGTTTTTTCCTATATTGTAGTTAGAATGTATTGTTGTTCTGCAAAATTTGAAGTTCATATGTTGTGTCGTTTGAGAGAAACAAAAAAGACAAATGTGTTTGTACGGATCTTGATGCATAAATGGATGGCAAAGAAGAGGTACCGTGTAGTCTGAGCTACAGGAAACCATGCCTGGCTAGCTTTTTAGTCGAGAGGGGGGACGCTTTTTAGTCGAGAGGGGGGACGGGCACTGCACTGCACCTTGCTAGCTTTCGCCTGCGCCACGCCCTTCTTATTCCGGCTGGCTGCGGCAACAGTAGCCTGCAGAAGGCAACGCCTCACCGGCTCACCCTCACCCCTCCCTCCTCCGTCACATCCTCCTCTCTGACGCCTTTTCCTGCAACCGGATCGCTTCTCCTGTCCTCCTAGCGCTCCTCCCCCTCGTCGTATTCACCCCACTAGCAGTAGTCCAGTACCACCACCGTCTTCTGCCATCACACGCAGTCTGCGCAGAAGCTGAGCTAGCAGTATCTCATCAGTGGTAGCCTCGAGACCACGTATCCAATCCACCTAGAAAGAGGGGGAGAAGGGGAGACGAAAGAGAAAGAGACCAGAGAGAGAGAGTGAACATGATGCTCTGTGATCTCTCTTCTGACCGCGAGGCCACCGGATCCAGCTCCCATGGTGGAGTTGGAGACTTCGGCTTCAGCAGCCATGTCCTGCTCAGCCCTCTCTTCGCGCCGGCGGCGACGCCGACGCCGACGCTGCTACCCAGGCCTCCGCTGCCGATGCTGCTGGAGGAGCCCGCCAGAGCCAAGAGGAAGAGGAGCCAGCCCGGCAACCCAGGTATGAAAAGTTACCCTAGACCTAGATCATCAGCTGCTAGGTCCCTGAAATCCTGAAGCTGCAGGTGGTAATCTCTCTCATCAAGCAAGCTGGTTAGGGAATTAATTTGTTCTTGTGGTTTCTCTTCTCTGTTGGAACGCACGTACGGCAGACCCTGGCGCGGAGGTGATCGCGCTGTCGCCGCGGACGCTGGTGGCGACGAACCGCTTCGTGTGCGAGATCTGCAACAAGGGCTTCCAGCGGGACCAGAACCTGCAGCTGCACCGCCGCGGCCACAACCTGCCGTGGAAGCTCCGGCAGCGCACCGTGCTGCTGCCCAGGCCCGGCGGGGACGGCTCCGGCTCCGGCGCGCCGCGCAAGCGCGTGTACGTCTGCCCCGAGCCCACCTGCGTCCACCACGACCCGGCCAGGGCGCTGGGCGACCTCACGGGCATCAAGAAGCACTTCTCCCGGAAGCACGGCGAGAAGCGGTGGAAGTGCGAGCGGTGCGCCAAGCGCTACGCCGTGCACTCGGACTGGAAGGCGCACGTCAAGAACTGCGGCACCCGCGAGTACCGCTGCGACTGCGGCATCCTCTTCTCCAGGTACGTGCGCATGTATCTCAAGCTGCTGGATCCTCTCGTCACAGCTGCCCTTTGCATCTCTGTTCGTTCGTTCGTTAGGATCTCTGAACTTTTATCTGAATTCTCATGGTACTATGTACCTGGCCGGCAACCGACAGTACGATAGTCGGTGATTTCATCAGGATAGATGATACGAGGGGATTCACAGCATGCGGTAGACACGTATACATTTGGAATTAATTCAAAATAATTTCATAATCAATTAGTTCATCGATCGCTGCATGTCACGTAGACGTAGGGCTTCCCTTTTCAATTGATGTGTTAATACTCATACTACATGATTACATGCTGAACCTGGAATTTTCGAATTCCCATTTCTCTTGAAAACACCGATCGAATATGTCCTGGTCAAAAATATCACCATCCTGCAGCAAGCACTTAATTTTGGCTGTGCAAAGCACGAGGCCCTGTCCAAAGCTTGCCTATATATGCATGGTATGCATGTACTAGTAACCAAGAGGCATTGATGAAACACTTGGTAGGTAGCCAGTCCCTGCAGTAGGATCGTTTTCATGCTTCCACTTCTTGGCACACACTCCCTGCATTAGCAAGGGGGGTTGAAGGTGCAGATTCAAGCAAGCACTGTACGTAAATGGTACATGCATGGTGGGGACCTGTTAGAAAAACTGTCGAAGAAGATGCACAAATACTGTATGAACACACAAACCTGCAGGCTGGCTGCAGGAATCATCATGGAATTTACATCTCCAGCTATCACCTGCATGCGAATGCGAATCCTTGACTTCCATCATAACTCTCCCTCTCTCTCATGGCAGGAACTTTTCTTCAACAAAGTTAAATACGAGTGTGTTACCAAAGAAATAATTGAATACACCTTTAATTTTACATGCATGCATATATACGAGTGTTAGCCAACAAATTGAACTACTCGCTGATTATTTCATGTCAACCTAGAGCCAACCTATATGTGATAACGTGCGCCCCCATGCATGCATGCAGGAAGGACAGCCTGCTGACCCACAGGGCCTTCTGCGACGCCCTAGCCGAGGAGAGTGCAAGGCTCATCGCAGCTGCAAACAACATCATCCCCACTACCACCACCTGCAACAACAACGGCAACAACAACAGCGGCAGCAGCAGCAACGACATCAACAATATGCTCATGCCAAGCAACAGCTCACCACTCTTTCTCCCTTTCTCAAGCCCCCCTCACGCTCAAAACCCTAACCCCCTCATGTTTCTCTCCCAAGAGCCTCACCACCAACACCACCAGGTGCTCCCTCCGTTCCAGCCCCTGACATACCTTGATGACCTGCCTATGACTACCGGCAGCAGTTCGACCGTCAGCACCGACACGGTCAGCTTCAGACTTACTCCAGAAGGCTCGGTGACTATGCACGCCGGTGGCCGACACCTCACCAGGGACTTCCTAGGCGTCGACAACGCCGGGGAGGTCGAGGAGCTGCAGATGTCGGTGCCACTGTGCGCCGCCGCGTACCAGGGACGCTCCATCGGCCCCACCGCCGCCTGCTGCGCCACCGACCTGACCAGGCAGTACCTCGGCCGGCTGCCGCCGGTGAACGAGCCGTGGAGCCACAACTTCTAGGGACTCGCCAGCATCTCATCAACAAGATGACCACCGAAGACTTGAAAGCCAAAAACTAGCTTTGTGTGTGCTCGCTACCTTAGCTCTTGTCCATGATTGTTTTTTCAAGAACACAAGTTATGTGCGTCTTTTGCATTGAGAATTAGAAATGGAACATGCAAAGTACTGTTACGGCAGATCACATGTGATCGCCCGGTTCCACCGGTTTCTGACACACACAAAAAAGCAGGCGAATCGAAGGGTGTGGTAATTGACACCTCGCCAGCTTATCTATCGTCCACAGCCTGTTCTTCTGGGATAGCCACACGAACACCTTTTTTATGTCCATGGTTGTTTCATGCTTGAATTTATGTTAATTAGATGCTTAATTTCCCTGTCATTGTTGGTAATTAGGGTACGTCGATCCTATCTGGACTATGCGTTGATCGATCCAACCTATGTTTTCATACTTTTTTTTCTCGGTGAGAGATGCCTGGCCAAATGTCGATGGATGACACCTTCATGTATGACCCGTACGTTGTGCTAATTTCTTCATGTTGGATGCATGTACTAGCTAGCTACGTTTAGCACGCATATGTTGGAGGTTTTTATCCAACATGGATGACAGCATAATTTTCGGATAGATACACCACCTCCTTCAATGTTGGCATAATTTTCGGATAGATACACCACCTCCTTCAATGTTGGCATAATTTTCGGATAGATACACCACCTCCTTCAGTTTCTCAGCATTTCAGTTTTCAGGCCGTTGGTATTTCATTGTGTGTATCTTATCTATGTAGAGGCCTTGTGCCGATCATCATTCTTTGTATCCGCTTGATGCTACATTATTATAAAGTAATAAACACATCCTTTTATCGAAAAATGACAAAGATGGTCATAATTTTTTGATGTTATTTTGCATGTTAGGAATTTATTCACCAGTAACTTTTTGGGTATCCAACACGCATGAGACAACAATAATTTAGTATGCAGTTTGATGGAAGATTCCATTTCGTGTATTTATTACAACAGAGTTTCAAATTCCAGTCCATTTGAACGATCCCTTGAAACCCCCTCCCCATTCCTAGCCGCCACCCACATGCGACGGGAAGGGATTCCTAGCCGCCGATGTCGAACCCTCCTCCTCCCTCGCAGTTGCCAGAAGGCGCGGCCGGGCGAATCCGTGTCGGCGCCGATGTTGGCGGGGCACTTGCTTCTCCTCCCTTAGGTGTATCGGCACGGGTCAGTCCTTCCTAGCCAGTATGTTTATGATGGCCCAGGGCGCGGCGGCGTGTTGGCATCGGTGCCGGCACAGATTAGTGTATGTATAATTTTAAAACATGTTAGTGTAATTTTTAAAAATATTTTAGTATCATTTAGACAATCATGTAAATAAAATAATTCTTTAATTATAAAAATGTATGTATGATTTTAAAACTGTTCATTTGAGGATCTATAATCCTGGGGGCGCACTAGGCTACTAATTATTTTTCCACACATATTCTTAAGGTTATCTTTATTCAAAAATATATCTTTTGACAAACACATAAACTTTATTGAAACATGCGAACATTTCTTGAAACTAGAAATACATTTCCTAATAGCATGAACACGTTTCAATACTAGAAATACATTTCCTAATAGCAGGAACACATTTTAAAACTAGAAATACATTTCCTAGTAGCATGAACACTTTATATAATACTTGAATATTTTTGTAATTTCTAATAAAGAAAAAACTAACTTGTGGAAAATGGGCCACACAGATTGCAGCTCATTTAATTCCACTAGCGCTTTTAGGGTTGATAAAGAACAACAATGCTTGCTGGGCGTGTATGGCGAGCTTGTCTGGTTCCTGGTGGCGGCCCGTCTGGCCGTGTCTCCGATGGGGACCTCACCCTTCCTTACCTTGTACCTGCCGTGGTGGAGCGGTACTTCATCTCACACATTGATGGCGGCGGAGATCGGCAGCATTGGCGCTGTGGAGGCTCGGCGTCCGATGCGCGGAGATGGACTCGCGCAGGAGGAGGTAGCTGGCTGGCGTCATGGTGACGTCGATGGCAGAGTGGCCAGACAAGATAGAAGCCTCAATATAATCTGAAGACGGACCTGTGAAAGATGGCTGCGACGACACACAAGTGCGTCTGACCGGATTGTGCCCCAGACCCGGTATGTGGCTCGGCTGGGGCTTTCGGCTTTTGATGTTAGGTTTAGGTGAGTGGTTTGGGTAGTGGCCCAGCTAGCATCCCTTTATCATATGGATAGGAGTAGCGGCATATGTTGCCAAGATGGTGGATTCAGGTATATTCTTTGTAATACTTTGTAAGGTCCTCGAGCATAATCAATAAAGTGGCCGTATGCATCTCCCAGATGCAGAGGCCGGGGGTCATCCTCCTTTTCTAAAGAACAATTGAGCAACAAATTTACCTTGTCGGTGTGGTTAGTGTAGTACGTTTGGTACGGGAGATCGCTGGTTCGATTTCCAGCTGTGCCCCTCCGTAAAGAAATATAAGAGCGTTTAGTCACTACTGTTGAAATATACTGCCCATCTTCTTTCATCAGTTTGGACTTTTGGATGAGTTGGCTGGAGCATGAATTCAATAACTACTTCAGTCATCTAAGCACTCTTATATTTTTTACAGAGGAATATATACTATGTCTGAATTACAAGTGTCATATTCCGACACCAAATCCAATTGTAGTTCTAGTGTTTCTAGACACGTTGGACACATAGCCAACAAGGGAGGGGAGAGGACGGGTCCGGGTGGGAGCACTCTGGTTAGATGTGATAAGAAGAGTGCATGCATGTATTCGCCGCATCTACATCTGCTTGCATGCATGCATGCACAATGATGATCATCATGCATCTGAAATCTGATAGTGTCATGCTAGCTCATGCATATGGGAGTCCGAGCCTGATCCCTGGGACCATGGCTGGCTGGCCGGCGATATGCATGTGCGTGCAATCCCTAGAATTGATCGAGCGCGTAGTTTGAGAAAGATGAGGAAGAGGGAAAAGGGCCCGGGGAGCTTCTTTGCTGCCGTGCGTTGACAAGCATCATCTCCATGTGTCCCACACTGGCCCTGTCGCCCTCATCGCATCTTCTCTTTTTTAATCCCAATGCAATTAGTAGACAATGTCAAAGTCCGGGAAAAGTATTTCTTG